TGTCTACAATTTAAAAATCTAAGTTGTCATTCTGCAAGTGAGCACCACTACAAGGGATTTTGTTTATGCATTACTCTAAAATCGTACCACCCTATATAGTTTCTTTTTTACGTTATCTGATTAAGTCCTTTGTGTACCCCTGTCCGTTGTGATACCAATGTCTATTTCGTTACTTTTTTTAGTTTTTGTTTAACAAAATACTTAAAATGATTTTTATACACTATCACTTGGTAATAGGTGTTTATAAATTCACTTATACAGTGACTACAAGAAAATATGAATGGTATTGTTTTTTTAACAAAGAATCGGAATTGTTTCTTTTAAAAAGTAACTTAACGAACATACATATTTAAAAAAAGCATACAATTTTTAATAAAAAATAAAATAAAAAAATGGAGTCAAAAGTTTGTGAACTAAGTACATTTTATTTCAAATTATTTTTATAACAACTTTTTTTATAGAATTAAATTTTGGACTTCAAATTGGTAATGGAGCTAGCTAAACACATAAACGTAATAAAAATTAAAAAATGCACTGCCTGTCTTAAATGTAAGTAAACAAAACTCTAAACGTTTATAAAAATCCAACCAAAAGTCAATTTAAGCAAAAAAATATTTTGATCTTCATTTTCCTGAAAGCGGGTGTTTCTTGAAAATGACCCATCTAACATTCAAAGCAATAAAAATACAGATAAGTATCAGTGGTAGAAGTGCGAACAGGCGTATTTGGTTTTGTTATTAACACTTTCTAAATAAATCGAAATGATCTAGAAATAACTAGCACTTATTTATTATTTAGATAAAGGGTAACGCCTTCAGTCACGAACTCAATTCCATGCTATTTATCGTTTAATTGATGGAGAAAATGCAAATGTTTACTTGTGGTTGATATTTAACATATTTTTATTTTCCGTGTTCGATACTTGATGATTTATATGTTCGAAAATGGAATTATTGGATGATATATTCTTTGGGAAAGGTATGATTATAATGATATAAATAATTTGGTAACGGGTAAAAATGATAAATTGCTTTTTTACAGGTGGACTTTTTGCATCTCAATTAACCAGACATTGACAACACATATTTTGTTTTACATATACATACTTTTCTTTTTATTTTTACAATTTCATTTTTTTAAAATAACCCTATAGGGTATAACCAACTTGCAACTTTGAGCATATTATACATTAAATATCTTAAAATTAAATACCACATATCTCAATTATTAGATATGGGACCCACACCAAATTGATATGATTTTATAATGACATTAAATAAATATGTTCTGCGCAAGTAGAATTAAAATTGAAGTTTGCGAAAAAAAGATAACCGAAACATCGAACATGGAACTGACGACACGGTACTGATGAATGGGATACAAATTTGAGATTATAATTCGGAATTAAGTATTTTACTGATATTTTTTATTAGTGGATGCTACTTATCAACAAATCACATATAGCCTTATATAAATTACAATGAAATATATATATGTAAGAAAATAACTACTAACCACAGTACTGAAATTTTGACTGGAACTATACGTGCATTCACCACAAATTCGCCGCTTGCATTGTTTTCAAGATGACTGTCGTGCAAAGGGTGGGCTCTGTAGCTAATTTTTTCTTCAATATTTCGCAGGAATTTTGAATTTTAACATTGGTTACAGAACTGACGGGTAAAAGTGAGTACAAAGATTATCAATTTTTAAAAAATTGCTATTATTCGAATCTATGATAAAATATGAAAAATACATTATTTAATGTTTTATAGTTTGTAGTGAAATTGAAAAAATTAAGGTAAATTGAATATATTTTAAAATAAAATCACTAAATTATTTGATTCAGGAGCTGTGACACGCCAAGGTACTGATGTTTTTTTACAAACGTGCTTTTGAAAAATTACATTAAAATTGGGTGGATAAGTTAAAAAAAACCTGGATCTTTTGTAATATACTAAAATATTTACAAAAAATATTAAAATACCTATAGGTATAGAGTATACTCTATTGACTGATGACATCAAGTTGTCCAACTTTTGTAGAATCACCCATATATATAAAATTGAAAAAAGGACTTTTGGACAATTGTTTGCAATTCGTTTATTATTACGATTAAGAGCAACTTAAACTTTGAATGACATTCAGCATTCAGCATAATTGAACTCAGCCTTGGTATTTTCCTTCGATAGTTCTCACACTTGAAATAATTCGTTGCATTTATTTTATCTAATTCTCCTAACACCTAGGCGATATTAATAAAAAATAATAATTGCTAATAACTCGGCTTCAGCACTTACTACTACGTTTGTTATGGCGAGTATAGTGAGGTAGAAAATCTTTACGGTCGACAATAACTATTATTTCAGCTCTAAGAAGTCGTAATCTGGAGTAGAATGGATATTAGCAGCAAACTTGTACATATTTTCAAACAGTAGTTATCATTAATGTTGAAAATGGCCCGTGAACATTACGAGAAATCGATCTGATAAGAACATACAAATGGAAGTTCTCTAACGATACACATTTCACTTGTTTTACTGCAATAATAACATCATTGAGATTTTATATTACACTGGTTAACATCCATTTTCCGGGCAGACATTTATTTTTCTAGGCCTTAAGTCACTTGCATAAATATTCAATGTATTAAAAATGATTGTGTGTTTAAAATTAATGACATGTGAACCCGCCTTAACGAATCTTGACAACTTCATATCAATTCGTCTAAAAAACCTCACATTGATTTGACATTTGTTGAACAATGATGTGAGGTTATGTTTCAACCGAGGGGTCAACCACCCAAAGGGAAAACGTCCAGGGATTCCCATGTATTCCCATTATATTTTATTGTATTCCTATGTATTTCCATTGTATTCCTATGGTATTCCCCCTCTAAAATGTCCAGGGATTAAACACCATGGAGGGTGGTTATCTTGTAGTATAGTAGAAAAATCCATATTTAATAAAATTATGCTAAAGAAGTATCGGGTTTTCGCAACGCGCGCGCCATCTGGTGGACTTCAAAAGCATTGCGTGAATTTAAGAATTGCCAACAATACATTTAAAGCATACGAACTGTACATCATTTTTAAATAAATAGGTAGTTTTTTCACAAAAGAGAGGAAGGCAGAAGTCTAACTCGACAAATTTTGTTCAGTTGCACAGGTAAATCGCGCAAGTTATTTGTGTTTTACGTTGCAAGGAAAAAACTAAAAAACTGGTTTAGTACTCGATTTCAATTGATTGATTGAGAAACTCAACGCTTAAATGCTTATATAGTTACGTTAGTATGTGTATTTTATCTAAGGATCATGGTGAATTATTGCACTGAGAGAAAAGAATATTTTTAACAAACGTTGCAATTGTTTGAGCCTGATAGCTTTGAATCAAACAACTGAAATTTAATTCAAAATTAGTGCTTTTGCTTAGAATGGGTGAACTGCTTTGCCAGAAATGGTTGATTTGTTTAGGGTGCTGTGTTCGCTTGGAATATTATTAAGTTTTATGCAAACTTTGTACTGATAGTCATTAAGATTGGTTTTTTTACGTTTGAAAAAAATTTATGTAGGTTTCCATAAAACGTGCAATATTTTCCAATAAAATTTATTAATTTGTTAACTTAAATAGATAAAACTTATTATAAATCTGCTAGCAACAAATATAATAAGTTTGTGGCAAACATATCGAAGTTAATGGGTAATTGTGCTTAGTTTGGAAAGGGCAATTTTTGGAGTGGGGGAGCGCCTCTTGAAACGCGTCTTCTCGTGCAAGTACAGTGTCTTATAAAGTTTTAAATTTGCCTTATACATACGGTTCTTACAAAATAATTTTGCTTTAATGCAAACATTTGGATGAAACGGCATAACGTTTAAGAATATTGTATAAATCGTCGGCCTTATCACGAAGTGGCCTAACCCACAAAATTGTAAACAGTGACATTTTGGGAGAGTTAACTTACGATGGTCTGTCTGTAGTCTGTACTATAAAAATACATTTCTTGATAATAGAATAAACCATTGTAAGTTAATTTGCGAAAAATCTCATTTTGTTTTTCAATTTTGTGGGTGAGGCCACTTCCTGATAAGGCCAACGATTTATACAATATTCTTAAACATTATGCTGTTTCTTCCAAAGAAACCGTAATTTCTTCAGAAATGCACGTACGTTTAATGGAAATGTACTTAATTGGTAACAAGCATGCTTATCTGCAGATACCAATTTTTCCTAAAATTAGTAAATTTAAGGCAAACCTACATTCATTCAGACAAAATCGATTATACTGGTAGCAAGCAATTACCAATTTATCAGGAAAGTATTCAACAAAGAATTCAAATTCAGCAAATTTAAAATTTGCTGAATTTGAATTCAAATCTACATGCGTTTCGTTTAAAAGCAGTTTTCCGGAAGCTCCAAAGTGATGGTTTATTACCATTAAACCTTGGTACATTCCGCCGTATTTAAATATGTCATACGTTTGAATCAAACTTTAAGCCTTTCGCTCAAATATAACCTTCTCACATGTGTTTTAATTGTAAATAAAATTCAAGAACTAAATCTTTGCATTTTTATGTTTTGCCAAAGGATATATAATATATAAATATAATTTTTATTTAAGTTTGGACATTTTTAAGAAATTAGTAAAAAATTATATTTACAGGGACTGTATGAAATTTATTTCTTCATTCGGATTAACACTGTATATATAAAACCAATAAAAACCTAAGATTTTCTCTTGAAATACACCCAACAACACAAAAAATCGTGCCACGGTTTTTTTCGATATTTTTAACATTTTCCGTCTTTATTCTCAAAAACCCTAGATTGTAACACACGCGTGAAAGTTGTACTTTTGTTACGATGATAACAGCCGGGTGGTGGCGCTACTAGCGATACTTCTTTAGCGTATAACGTGAGTAATTTAATAATAATGGTCGGTAGCGGCACGCGGCGTAACATAAATTGTAACCATGTGACGCGCACTTAATAATCCATTTAATTGAAAATCGCTACCGAGGCCCCCGGTTGTTCTCTAATAGATTATTATTTCTGAACACGGAATCGGAAACATTACGATGTATATGGTACTTTATTTATTCTACATAATATTTTACACGCTAAAGCTATTTACAGTATTATCACTAATTCCTTGTGGTGTTATAGGCATCCAATTCGGCATCCAAATCTTCTCTAGTAAACACTTTCTTCGGTTCTTTCTTAACCCGAACGTTTGTTTTGCCTTTTGACTGCCTCCTCATATTTCCTTGACTTGGTTTTTTCTTGTTAACTGCTTTCTTGACAACCTTCTTTTCGCCAAGCCTTTGTTTTATTTGTGGCGGTCTCGCTGTCGTCGGTAAATTCGAAGACGCCATCTGGATGTTCATCTTGTAACCATCGAGTGGTACTCCGTTGTAGCGCTTCATTCCCTTAACAGCATCCCCTTGTCGTTGGAAAACCACATCGGCAGTGCCCAAGGATTTCCCGGTTTTGTTGTAGTGCACATGAGCGCTCAGCAAATTGCCGAACTCGCTGAAAAGCTCTTGCATATCCAAATCGCTCACATCTGCGTGTAGATTTGATATTATTAATTTTACTGGTTCGTTCTTATGTTGTTGTTGCTGTAACTGTTGCTCGAAACCTCTGAGGAGTTTTACTGAGCTTATCGAAGATGCTTTAGGCTTTTTGGCTATTCTCCCTGTTGAAGTCCTGTTCGTATTACCCTTGTTCCTCGATGCTGCTTTCCCTCCAACGACACGGTTTTTCACGACTCGCTTTTTGCTGCCCATTTTGGTTGACTTAATAATTTCATTAAGTGACATCTCCATTCTTTCTTGTTAATTGTTGTTTCTCTGTGTTGCACGCTGTTGCTAGTAATGTAACGATAATGGCTTCAGCGCTTATATTTAAGTGCGCTGTAAACATACTAGGTATAATTAATCTTAATTGGCGATATACTTTTATGCACTACCTTAAGAGCCGGTCTGGAATTTTTATTTAGTAATTGAATATTAATAATCCTAATGCTTTACTTTGTACCTGTTTTAAAAATTATTATTTATGATTTTTTACCTTGATTGGGCTTTGCATTTGAAAAACAAGCCAAATATTGCCAAATGACTTCTTGATTAATGTGTATATATATAATGTATTATGTATCTTACACAATAAAGTCTATTATTATTATTATTATTAAGTCTATTATTATTAAATCAGATTTTTTTGTAAGAGCAAAAAACTGTTTTCTTCAAATTATTGTAATATGAAGAATGTTTCTACATCCTCTTGATCTCATAGCCATCGTGATCAAAATACTTACAGAATGGGTTAATATCCGCTTTTTTAAATTAATTTGGTATTTTGAGGTGACAAAAATTATGTCATGTTTGGTCAACTGGGCATCCTAGGAAATAAAATTTTCTACAAAAAAGTCTCTATCAGTTTTGACGTAAATATTGTAAAATTGTCATTGTTTTGACAAAATTTTATGTAAAGTACAAAATATTTTTTTTGGTAAATTTTGTTAGTAAATTTAATTATCTACAAAAAAACCTTTTTTCGATAAGAACCCTCTTGTGGGAAATTTAATTTACTAGCAAAAGACAAAATATTAAAAAAATATTGTTACTAATAAAATAAGTCAATTTTGTCAAAAAAATGTATAACGACTTTTGAAAAAACATGACATTTTTAAGATAAAATCTCGATTATCTCCAAAACTGCAATGTTACTACGATAATTGATAATAATAATAGACAATTAAATTTACTAACAAAATTTATATATATATATATATTTTACTTAAAATAAGTAAATTTTGTCAACAAAAGAACAATGTTAGGATAAAATCGCGATTAACACAGTAAACAAATATTAACCAGATTTTATGTTAATCCAGGTCCACATGACATTATGTTAAATTTACAACCAACTGTAATTTGTTAACTAATTGAATAGGTACTTTGTATATATAACAAACATTTTGAAGAATAATAAACAAAATCCTAAACACAGTAAAAAATTTTGCCCGTGTAAATTTTTTAGTGTAGGGGTAAAAATATTAGAGTTGATTTGTAAGTGTAAAAGTAACGCTACAAAATACACTAGGTGTACCTATAGCATTTAGTGCTTATTAATAATAATACTCAATAAATACCAATATTATGTTAAAAGGATACTTGTAACATTAATAATATAAATACATACACATTTGATTTACTTTTTATTTTCAAGCGTAATAGTTGTTATATTAACCTATACCTACATTTTTATTAATATTATGGAAAATTTGTAAACGTGTGGTAAATCCCCTACATACAGCCGCCTAACGCCTCTCTACCAATGGATCACCCATTTTTTATAACAGAAAAATGGATTACTGATGAATTCTCAAGATAATTCATTGCTAACAAGTTGACAGCCAGTAAAACCTTGCATTGATCTAAAACTTTTACGTTTTAAGGAACCATTTTGTTTAAGTTGCCATACGACTCAAATATAAAATTATATTTTAAAAGGCACCGATTTTGATAATTGTCATAGATTTTTGTTCCAAATAAATGTTTCTTTTTATTTACCTTTTCCTTTTATTCACTACCACCAATAGGTTTTTCTCAAATAATAGTGTTAATTTACACTAGAAGTTTGCACTAAAAGAGTAAAAGTACCTTTTTAAAATCAGAACCTTTCCAAAGTAGTGTTAATTTACACTGAACAAAAGTGGGATTTTACCCAGGAAGTGTAGAAGTACACGATTTTAGCTAAATTAACACTTTTTAATAAAGTGTAAAATTACTTTATCCTCAGTGCTATAGTGTTAAATCATACTTGCTTACTTGGGGAAAATTACACTACAAATTAGTGTGGACCTGTGTGAACTCCAATTAGTGTTGCTTAGAGTTGATTTTTTTTGCTGTGTAACCTTTGAAATTAACAAAATGCTTACATAAAATTAACAAACCACAAACTTATGTTAACAAATCTAATTTTTACTTACTTGGTTTTGATTTTCTCAGCATCAACCAATATATGTAGAATGGAGCTTTAGAAATGCAGGAAGAGGGAGAAAATAAATCATTCGGGACAAACAATAACAATAATAATATTATCATAAAGGGCATAAGCAGCGAATTGCATCTACGACAATAAATCGTGTGTACGCATATAAAACATTAATATACATCGTTATCCAGTTAAAATATTCATTGGGTCGCATTGAGCCAGCAAAAGCACAGAAGCAGCAGCACAATACATAACAACAACAGTTACGGCTTGCGTTTCGCCCGTAGGCTCTCCGAATCTACATTGAATACGGCCGACCGTTCTATGCACTGCAACTCGCGAAATTTATTGGCGAATTTCGATGAGCAATTAATTTGTCCCGTGACCGGTAATTGCCCGTTTCCTGTTCCCGAGCCATGAGCTGCCGCTCGTCAAATATTTTTGCAACTCTTGAATGCTCATCTGTCGCGAGCGACAGCTTTATGTCTCTGCTACGTCCACCGAAAATTATCTTTCCTCCATAGAAAGATTCTATGCTACCATCATCTCGTAACTTTGGATTAGAGCCTTAGGCCTTTTAGAAATGTTTTGATGTACAATTTTTACATTTTTCGCCTTTTTTGTAGAATCTCTGACATCGGCATTTTTTAAAATTCTACCCCTTTTTTTTTAGATTCGATTATGAAATTTTGATTTTAGCAATATGCACATTTATACCTTTTGGGCTGATGGTTTCGGAGATATAATATATATTATATTAATATATATAATATATATAATATAATATATATTATATTAATTATTAAAAGTGGAAAATTTTTCGTTTTTGAAAAGTGTTTATAGAATAAATGTTTATACACAGTAAAAAAAAATCAACTCTAAGCAACACTAATTAGAGTTCACACAGGTCCACACTAAATAGTGTTGTTTTATAACACTACAATTAGAGTTAATTTGTAGTGTAATTTTGCCCAAGTAAGCAAGTATGATTAATTCACTATAGCACTGAGGATAAAGTAATTTTACACTGTATTAAAAAGTGTTAATTTACCTAAAATCGTGTACTCCTACACTTCCTGGGTAAAATCCCACTTTTGTTCAGTGTAAATTAACACTACTTTGGAAAAGTTCTAATTTTAGACAGGTACTTTTACTCTTTTAGTGCAAACTTCTAGTTTAAGTTAACACTTTTATTTGAGTAAAACCTATTGGTGGTAGTGAATAAAACGGAAAGGTAAATAAAGAAAAACATTTATTTGGAACAAAAATCTATGACAATTATCAAAATCGGTGCCTTTTAAAATATAATTTTATATTTGAGTCGGCTGGCTTAAGCAAAATGGTCCCTTAAAACGTAAAAGTTTTAGATCAATGCAATGTTTTACTGGCTGTCAACTTGTAAGCAATTAATTATCTTGAGAATTCATCAGTAATCCATTTTTCTGTTATAAAAAATGGGTGATCCCATTGGTAGAGAGGCGTCAGGCGGCTGTATGTCGGGGATTTCCATATTATTAATAAAAATGTAGGTATAGGTTAATATAACAACCATTACGCTTGAAAATAAAAAATAAATCAAGTGTGTATGTATTTATATTATTAATGTTACAAGTACCCGACCTACTGCCGTAAATTATTGATATATAATATAGGTCGGGTATGGACATCCTTTTAAAATATTGGTACTTATTGAGTATTAAGGCTTAAAGAAAAGGGAAGTATAATACTTACCAAAAAATAAGAATGTCCTCTTATGGATTCACCTTAATTAAAATATAACTGAACAAAAATGCCACACTTCCACAACGCGGTATCTCCGGATATGCACCGCGTATACCTATAGGTATACCTATAGGTAGATAGGTACCAACCAAACATTTTAAAACGCATTTCGGTTATTACCAGTTTTTGCAGTCTATTTTGCCACTACTGGTGTAATTTAACTTTAATTGTGATACAATGTGCACTTGGAGTGTAAAGAAAAAATAGCTCTTAGTAACATCAAAACAGACAAAGAAATTGGCATGCACTGTAGTGTACATTTTGTCATTATTTAACACATTAAGGGGTAATAAACACTCGCATTAAGTTTTTCTACCCTTTTGATTTATACTTTTACACTTACAAATCAACTCTAATATTTTACCCCTACACTAAAAAAATTACACGGGCAAATTTTTTTACTGTGTAGGTCCTTTTTTCTTTGACTGTATAATTAGGATTCTTTGGATAAATTTAGGTATGTTGGTAGTCTTAGCTTCATTAAAATGCATTTTGAATTTCGTTTTTGGTTTGAGTACTTAATGATGTTTAAAGAAGAAGATGTAAAGAATGTATTTGAAGTAAAAGTTTATTATAATGAAAATTACCATATCTGCTGGGACTTTCTTTTCGAGCAAACATCACAAAAGATCTCTTGTTGGCAAGATAAATTCAGTTACGTGCGTCGGAATGAATCATTTGCTCTTATTATTTTGTTTGCGTATTCTCGTGCTCGAAAGCATGCAGTAATTCTTCGCATCGTTCACGAACGACTGACAAATATCAATCTACAAATTGTGCACATGAGCGACCGAAGACGTACAAACAGGAAATCGATATTTTATTGTCACAGTTATCGATCCTCGGCCGTATAAATCTTAGACAATTGATTGATCGATTTATCTGCAACATTTGATGTAATTGTTTCTTATTGATGCGCTGCAATTTGTTTGAGATTCAGGAAAAAATTCGACCTCTTTCCTTCGATAAACTAAGCTACGGTTGTTACAACCACAAAGTTTTTGACTGCGTTTATCTGCCTGTATATCGAAAGTTTATCGTGAAC